GGGTAGAAAGAAAATGAATTTCAGATAAAATAATTGTCTAAAACTAGTTTTCCAGTGAATTGTTAATTAAATGTGTTTGATTGGTATAATTTTCTACCTGGAAAATTTTTAAATTTTGTGTTCGTTTGGCCTTCGTTTGCATCGAAATTATCCATTAAAGTGATATTTTTTTCCACACTTGGTTATAAAATTTGTTTCCATTACCAAAAGTAAAAATAAAAAACCAAAAAATTTTTTCCTAAAAAATCATTTTTTTAATCAAAGTTTAGTGTTCGTTTGACCTTCATTTGCATCAAAATTGTTCATGAAAGTGAAATTTTTTTTTACACTTGGTTATAAAATTTGTTTCCATTTCTTAAAATAAAAAAAAAAAGTCAAAAATGACAACAAAGGCTGGAAAATGAGAATTGGTTTTCACCAATTTTAGGGAAAACAAGGCGCGTAGCCTCCAGCCAAGAAATTATTGTCAATCAAACATGCATTTTTTCAAAAAGATGAAAAATGATTTCCAATTCCATGAAAAAAGAGCACTATCAAAGAGGGCCTAATTGTTGAAGAAATTACTTGAAAAAGTGGTGCTGTCTCTCTCCTTGTTCACAATTGATTCCCTTATATCTTTTATGCAAGAATCCAATGAAGCAACTCATCCAAACCACAAATATATTATAGAGAAAAAAAAATGAATAAAATACAAAAAGGAAACCGCTAATGCACAAATGTCCACAATATTGATGTTACATCTAAATTGACATGTAAACTTCGGAGTCTTTAATTTTCATAAAGGAAAAAGGTTTATATATGAAATAAATCTAAGATTCTTAGATTAGGCCATGTTTTGTGGCGATAAAATGGCAATGATCCGCCCTGGTGGTGCTGGTGCTAGTGGTGGTGGCGACGTTAGACGGGCTAGGAACCAGTTTTGGAGCTATACAATAATTGGAAACAAAAATTATTTTTATATGGAAAAAAAGTCATGTTTATGTAAAAAATCTTAGTTTATTATATAAGTAGATCTACCTAATACCTAAATCATGAACTGGCAATAATTGCTTAAGTTGACTAATAATTTGTAGCTCAATAAGCACATGAGAGAGCAGCGAGTAAAGAAAATTAATGCCATAACCATGTTCTTCTTCACTTAATCTCTCTCTCTCTCTCTCTCTCGCATGGCCTCGGCATCACACAGTAGAAATTACATCTTCAAGAAAGAGAGATTACAGAATTTGTTTAACGCAGCTTCAGTATTGTTCTGTACTGTGTTTTTAACAATACTTTTCAGTTTTTATCTCCTTTACTATCCTCCAAGAAGTACCATCAACTACACAACAAATATTATTCAAGAATACAATCAAACCACCATCTTCATTCAGCCTTATAAAAATGGTAAGTGAAACTGATGATCCATTGATTTTCCTTTGATTGATGAATTTTTCTTGAAGAGTTCTATACGAATTTTTCTTGCAGAAAGCAGAAGCTGCAACTTGTTTGAGGGTCAGTGGATTTTAGACGAGAGAGGTTCTTTGTATACGAATTTCAGCTGTACCACAATTCCTTACAAAAGAAACTGTTTTCTTAATGGAAGGGAGGATAGAGATTTTTTGCACTGGAGATGGAAACCAGACCAATGTGAACTTCCTCGTTTCAGCCCGAAAACTTTTCTTAGTACGGTTCGAGGGAAGACAATGGCTTTCGTTGGTGATTCAATAGCCCGGAATCAGATGGAATCCCTTTTGTGTCTCCTGTCTACGGTTAGTCCCTGAAAACTCATCTTCTTTAACATGAATGTAGAATAAAATTTGGATGAAGGCATGGCACTGTTATGAATTCTGTGGATGTCTACTAAAGCAGTAATTTAGTGGAGTCAAAGTGAAACTCCAATTAGGGCCCAGCCCGCCACCTATAACGGGGCAACGTGCAGGTTAGGCAATATGGAGTGTTCTAAAATGTCCATCTAGACTTAGGATTCGAAGAAAATGCCCCAGGTCAAGCCTAGGTCGGAAAATAGACGCTCAACTCTATGTTGACTGGCAAAGACGCGTTTAGGTGGAAGTAAGGCATGCACCTTTTTTTTGTGCCAGTGATATTTTATTGCTTTGAAGTCCAGCTCTATCATTATAAAAATATTCAAACCTTCATTGGGAAATCACATCTTGAATTATAAAAGGGTATTAAGAAATATAAATTTGCCTGAGTGGTTTGCACATTGTTATGTTTACTTGTAACCAACAACAATTCATTAGCCCATAGTGTTAATTCTAAAGTAATGATTAAATTAAGAACCTAACTGTAATAGATTAATAATACTGTCTGCAAGTTAATAGAAAGAGCTAATTATTCTAATTTAAAAAAAGACTATCATGACATAGTCACATTCTTCAACCTAGCATAATTACCAACACTAAGGGTCTGCTTGGGAGTTTCGATGTAAAGATTATGAGAATTTTTTAAATTATCGATTTTCAGCGTTTATGAACGGATCGATTTTGAGTGGTTTTAGTAATGATTTTTAAAATTCTCCAACCTATGGTTGGGAGTTTATTATTCATC